ACTCCAATCCATGTAATTGGAACCCATGAACTTATTCTCCGTAATTTTGGACATAACCGGAATAACATCAACGGTAGGTTTCGTTTCAGTCATCTTACACCCGAATAATAGCATAATCAAATAGTCAAGAACAGTGCAGTGAAATTTGAACAGTGCAGTGAACAATGATATTTGAACAGTACAGTGAATAGTGAATAGTAATATTTGAACAGTGAACAGTACAGTGAACAGTGCCGGAACAGTGATCTTGGGAAATGAAAGTTGTCAGGAAAAAAAAATTCTGACAGTACCACTTTGGTCGGAATAGTGAGTAGAAAAATCTCTAAAGAAGCGGCCGGGGCAAAAAATGGCCGAAAATAGTGAAATAGAATCAAAGCAGCGAAAGACTGGTCTGAACAAAAATAATTCGAACGGGGAAAAAAAATTCCCAACAACAAACTGATGAAAAAACTTCAATGCTCTGATACCATGTTAGAAACCAAAGAAGTTCTATATTTCATATCTAGAAAAGAAGATTACAAGGCCTATTTATAATACTAATTCACCTAATCTATTAGTTGTCATACACCTAATTACACCTACTATACAACTCATATACATGTGCTAGCTATGATGTAGTACATGTGTATACATGTGCTACACAACTTGTATTACACCTACTATACAACTCATATACATGTGCTAGCTATGATGTAGTACATGTGTATACATGTGCTACACAACTTGTATTACACCTACTATACAACTCATATACATGTGCTAGCTATGATGTAGTACATGTGTATACATGTGCTACACAACTTGTATTACACCTACTATACAACTCATATACATGTGCTAGCTATGATGTAGTACATGTGTATCTCCCCGAATTTCTTCAGTAGTACGGATTCAATTTCGTCATCTTCCAAGTCGTTTCCATTGATGGCATACGTATACAAGGTGATGTGCTTGTTGGGATCAGCGGTCCCGTTGTATTTTGGGATGTATGGCATCCGGATCTTCTTCGGGATGGGCTTTAGATCCGCACTCCGGGGGAATGGTTTTTGTGCGAACTTCTTCGGGTCCAGTCCTTTCAAAATCGGAGGTGCTCCCGGTATCTGGTCGACCCTCGAGTTGTATGTTTCCGCCTTTTTGTCGTTGTCCTCAATCATTTTTTATCCTGAGTCGATCCTCTTCGTGAGTTCCTAGATCATTCTCATAACGGTGGGGTCAGTTCTCGAGTCGTTGTTGCTTGATCTCTCCAGGGTTGCCACAACATGATGAGTGGTTTCTGGCCCAGCCACACTCAGAGTCTTTTACTGACTCTGTAACTGGGCAATAGCAACTTGTTGTACTTGCAACATCTCAAAAATCACTTGTAGACTAACTCCTCTTTCTCCTTGAGCCTGTGTCCTTTGAGCGTCAGGTTGATCCCCTCCGCGTATACTTCCTTCGACATCAGTGTCCAAATTGACGTTCAAGGCAATATGTGAACCAGCGTCGACGGGTTTAGGCAATGGTGCTACCCAAGGGTTTAGCGGTGGCACACTGGTCCCTGAAGCTGTTGCATTATTTTTTTCATGGGATCTGAGACCGTCGTTTCCATGCACGGGTGTGTTTGCTGAGTTAGACATATCTTAGCCTGAAATCAAAGAATCTTTGATAAGAAATAAAGTGTGAAGAATAACGTGTGTTATCAGAAAACTAGCACTAAAATAATCACTATTTTCTTTAGCCCCACGGTGGGAGCCAAACTGTTTACCTCGAAAAATGGATGTAACAATTAAAGATGAATTGTAGTTTTAAAGATATGTGATTTATTCCAATACTAGTGAATATACAAGTAATACTAATCTTAAGTAAGAAGAATTGATGAACCAAACCAGTATTGTTAGACCAATAGGGGCCCCGAGCTCGACTGTATCGGGGCCTCGAGGTGAGTTAAGAACCAATGAAGTATGAACAATAAAGTAAAAATGATAAAGTTGAAGAACAATTGTTGAGCACGGCAAACGAGAAAAGCAGAGTAGAATATTCTATTGAAGTAAATAATAATGTGTTTACAAATGATTGGGGTCCCCTTTATATAGGAGGGAAAAACCCTAATATGGTACATTCCCAACTATGGTGAAGAATTCTATTGGTATTGTTGTATAACAACCTAGTACGGACTCGTACTATTTTGTACAAATCTTATCCCATAATTTATGCCTTGATCCACGTGTTCTTGAGAAATTCCCGCTCTTTCTTGAGTGTCATCGAAATTGTACTGCCCTTGAGGCAGATCATGACGGGTCTCCGATTTTCTCCTCGAGGTGCGCACATCCTGGCCAGGGTCGATTCTTACTTCGAGCTTCCCGAACTCGAGCTCGGGGTATGATCAAGCCTTCGAAATCGAGCTCTCCAATTTCGACCGTATACAATTTTAAGAATTGAATATACTTTGATCTTTTCTTGAAAAAGTATTTATTTATTTTATCTTCTCGCCTAGCGCAATGAAATCAATATTTATTATTTTCAAAAACTTACATTTTTCTTTAGTTTTATTTTAATAATATTTTTATATTTTTTCTAAAATTATATTCTTATTAATATAGGTACACGCGCAGAGCGCATACCTTAATACTAGCTTGAGGGTACGTGTTTTGCATGTGTATCCCATATTCTATATCTATATCTATACTATATTAAAAACACTAACGCTCTTGGCGAAATGCCGTTCGCTTATTTTATCCTTAAAAAATATTATATATTGGATATATTATCCTTTAACATATATAATCATCTTCAGGAACTTATATTTTTATTTTATTATTTAAATATAAATTTTTAATAAATTAGTACTCATTGAGATAGAATACACGCGCATCGCGCGTACCTTGAGGCTAGTAGAAAAGAAAAGTATGATAGTATATGAGTAACGTGTTGGAAATTAAGGGAAGGAAAGAAAATTTTCTTTACATCCAAATTTGAAAGTTATTTGACGTCATCGAGATGACGGCCATGTTCAAGTTTTCCACAAATAATGTGAAAAGAAAAAGAAGAAGACACACACTGTGTTTGGTTTTATTATAGTTTTTTCTTTTAGAGAATTGATTGTACAAATTATTATAAGAAATAGTATAATATAAGATTTAGAAATAAGATTATTAGAAAAAACAAACATCAAAAAGTATTTATTTTAATTTCTTTTTCCAATGGACATTCCCATTCTTCTGAAACAACATAGATAAAAATATGAAAGCAAAAATTATCAGATCGTTTAATGCAGATAATATTAATTAACACATTAACCATAACCAATATTTTATTTAAAAAAAGCACAACTGCTAGATCAAAAAAGTGTTTAACTTCATGCATTGACAATTTTTTAAAATAATTTTGCAGCATCAGGTAAAATATTTTTTCTTCGTTTCCCACCCTGTGTACGGTATACACGGGTACTTATATTGGGGCCCAACTAAATTCGGATTCGTCCGGAGAAGTCCCACATTGGGGCATAAAGCGCTCCCTGACGAAGGCGACTCCATACCCATGGACTTGAACCCGAGACCTTTGGTTAAGGATGAACGAGACCTCCGGTGCCAGGTAAAATATTGGTAACTGCTTATATAAGTTTAATATGGTAACCTGAGCCGAAGGTCTATCGGAAACAGACTTTCTGCCCTATCAGGGTAGGGGTAAGGTCTGCATACACAGTACCCTCTCCAAACCCCACTTAGTGAGACTTTAGTGGGTAGTTGTTGTTGTTATTGTTATGGTAACCTGGGAAACAGGATAAATAACTATCTATAACAGGATATATTACATTGATATTACCATGTCAAAAAATTAAGCAAGTACATGAATAATCGCCGTGAAATCTTCAAGATTTCTCCTATAAATACCCTTGGTAGTAAATCTAGTTTTTCCATTCAAAGTACAACATTTCTCCTATAGTCATGGAATTTGTTCTCTTTTCACAAATGTCTTCATTTTTTCTTGTCTCTACGCTTCTCTTATTCCTAATAATATCCCACTCTTGTCATGCTCAAAACTCTCAACAAGACTATTTGGATGCCCATAACACAGCTCGTGCAGATGTAGGTGTAGAACCTTTGACCTGGGACGACCAGGTAGCAGCCTATGCACAAAATTATGCTTCCCAATTGGCTGCAGATTGTAACCTCGTACATTCTCATGGTCAATACGGCGAAAACCTAGCTTGGGGAAGTGGCGATTTCTTGACGGCCGCTAAGGCCGTCGAGATGTGGGTCAATGAGAAACAGTATTATGCCCACGACTCAAACACTTGTGCCCAAGGACAGGTGTGTGGACACTATACTCAGGTGGTTTGGCGTAACTCGGTTCGTGTTGGATGTGCTAGGGTTCAGTGTAACAATGGAGGATATATTGTCTCTTGCAACTATGATCCTCCAGGTAATGTTATAGGCAAAAGCCCATACTAATTGAAAACATATGTCCATTTCACGTTATATATGTGTGGACTTCTGCTTGATATATATCAAGAACTTAAATAATTGCGCTAAAAAGCAACTTATAGTTAAGTATATAGTACTATATTTGTAATTCTCTGAAGTGGATATATAATAAGACCTAGTGCTCTTGATTATGGGGAAAAAATATGAATTCCGCTTGATGTATGATATGATATTATTATGAAATCTTTAGTACTTTTACGATTTATGGGTTGATGATCTAGCTACTTGCGAATTATGTGCAAGATCTTATAAAAAGGCAATCCAGTGCACGAAGCATTCCGTGTTTATACAAAATCTGGAGAAGGCCGCACCCGCAGCCTACTCAGATGTAAGCATCAGCGTGGTTGATTCCACGGCTCGAACCCGTGACCTATAAGTCACACGAAGACAACTTTACCATTATTCCAAAACTTCCCTTCCAAGATCTTATAGCGACATGCATTTTCAAACAAAAGGAACTAGCTTACACAGTTCATATAATATACTAGAGGGCCAAAAACATGAAAACTACCTAACTTAGGTGGTCGGAGGATATTGGAAGTGGAGTAGCTAGTTTTTAATAGCTGAACCGGTAGTCTTAAAACTGAATGTATAAAAATATTTACACAATAAGATCATTTATAAGGTAATTATATGTAAATATGTATGACGAATTATCAATCAGTAATTTGAAAAAAAGATTGTAACTAATTAACCTATTATAGTAAACCTACTATAATAGGTTAGATTACATTAATCATGTCATTAAAAGATCTTTAATTTATACTGTCTATTTATACAAGGGAAGTCTCGGCGTAACTGGTAAAATTACTGCCATGTGACTAGAAGGTCACGAGTTCGAGTCGCGGAAACAGCCTCTTGCAGAAATGCAGGGTAAGGCTGCGTATGATAGACCCTTGTGATCCCGCTCTTTCCTGGACCCCGCGGATAGTCTTGGCGTAACTGGTAAAATTACTGTCATGTGACTAGGAGGTCACGAGTTCGAACCGTGGAAACATCCTCTTGCAGAAATGCAGCGTAAGGATGCGTACGATAGACCTTTATGGTCCGGCCCTTTCCCGGACTCCGCGCATAACAGGAACTTAGTGTATCGAACCACCTTTTTTGTTTATACAATAATAACAACAAACCCATAAAAATCTCACAAGTGAGATATGATTGTTTAGCACAGTGCAGTCACATAACCATATGGAAGCAGACGAAATTCACAACATCAGGAGTTTCTAATTAACGTTTACAACATGACCTCCCAAATTTGGTTCTACAGATCCTCTTCTCTTCTTTCTCTAGCTGTATTCTTCATTAGTCTATCCATAATCTCTGTCTATCCATTAAAGCACACACAAAGAATTAGAATTATAACGACCGAATAAAACAATTGGATTATTCTCAATCCTAGTTGCTATCTAATTTTGCTTTTGATGAATAAACAGTAAAATAGTAGAAAAACAAAATATACGCCGCTGCCGGGGATCGAACCCGGGTCACCCGGGTGACAGGCGGGAATACTTACCACTATACTACAACGACTTGGTTGTAGACAGTTATCAATATTTCTAATTTGTCACACACCTATAGAATTTGTGAAGCTAAACATTGTTTCCACGATTATCAAAATGAAAATTGTTAATGTCATTAAAGAAATTTACAAAAAGGAGCTTCTTTATACAAGTAGCAGTTTAGGAAAAATTCACCATTTTCATAGCCAGATGCATTCAACTTATAATAGGCAGATGCTGACGGATTAAGGATATACGTGTTTAACCAAAAATCTGAGTTTTTGGTCAAAACTAGAAATAAAGAGAAATTCAGGTTACTGATAATCAGGAGACGAAAATAATAAAAGACTTTTGAGAACAATAATGAAGCAGTAAATAGTTTTGTATTTCAGTAAAATCTCAATTGTATTCCGTGTCCCTACAGATGTTGAGTCCTTCTCCTTTTATAATTGATTCTAGGAGAAGGTGTAATGCCTTTGTCTTAATGAGACAATTATGAGCAATAAATGACATTAAAAGAAACGTTACTCAATCATTCCTATTAAATACAAATTCTCTAACGTATTTGATATTTAATGCTGAATTTGGACTTTTTTGCGTCATCAGATTCATATCTTCAATCCCTTCCGATCTTCGGTCTCGAATAGGTATGAGACTCGTGCCATTTGAGTAACAGTCCACACCTATGTTGTTTTCTTCTCCTCATATCTGTTGTCGCCCGTGCCTCTTGGCTATTTATTGCGTTTTGACCTTTTAACCAGTATACGTGTCATGACACATCATCTTCAATATACAGACTCAGTTTTTTCCCAATACAGATAGTCCCCCCACTTTTCATTTATTTATTAATTAAATATTTGGGAAGTGGATCTTCAAAAAAGGAATTTTTGTCGTAATCAATGTTATGACAGTACTAACGCTTCAGTTGTCTTTTCTATTTAATGCTCTGCACAGGTGTCACCTTCTGATTGGCTCTGTAATTCTGCAGCCTTTTTTTAAGGCTCTATTCACGAAGTGATAGTTGCCTTTATTATAGGCTTTCCATCATTACACTTCTTTGTTTGACGGTTACTATTATATGTCACACCTCCTTTTTCCGCGCCCGAGGGGGCGCAGGGGAGTTTTTTCCAATTAAAGGAC